CTCAAAGCATTTTATCCGACTACACTATTAGAAACTGGTCATGATATACTCTTTTTTTGGGTTGCCAGGATGGTCTTTATGGGCCAAAAATTATTAGGACAGTTGCCTTTTAAGTATGTATATTATAAATGCATTCAATGTCCATACTTTTATGCATAAAGAAATGAAATATATATTTTGGAATATACATCTCATATAAAATATTTTTCTCTTATAGGGAAGTATATTTGCATGCGATGGTGAGAGATGCGCATGGAAGAAAAATGAGTAAATCCTTGGGAAATGTAATAGATCCTATGGATGTGATTAAAGGAATATCTTTAGAAGTATACATATATGAATAATAATTTGATATTTTTTTATCTCTCGGCCAAAAGTTTGTGACCATTATATATACAGGCTGTTCCGTTTTAATCCATTCAAATATCTTAGGAACAGTGTGTTAAATCGAAAAATGTTTGGACAAAAGTTTTTTGGCTTCGAAGAGCAAGATGATACTATTGGTTTGACCTTGGGTAGCGTTGTCGAGGTCAAGGCAAGATTAATCACTTTGAATTTTTTTAAATAAGACTTTGTATATATGTATAATTACAACTGTGTATTATATGAAATATTAGGTGTACAAATTAATTCGATGCTTTTTTTTATGAAATTCAAAATTATTTACACAAAGACAAGTACACATTTAATATTCGAAGTAATCTCCATTGTTTTCGATGACTTTATACCATCTTTCGGGCAACTGACGAATGCCCTCGCGGAAGAAACTTGACGGTTTTGACTCGATAAAGTCATCGATGCTTTTTCGGACCTCAACTATTTTAAGGCTCCTGAATAGTCACTTTAACCATATTAAATCGTGACGTCATAAACGAGAAATGATACGTTGATTTTTCTTGTATACCATTTGTAAATAAAGAGAATGAATGAAATCGCTTTAAATGAGATCGCTTTAAAACACTGGTAAAAATGGACGAAAACTTTCCATATCTCCCTTGATAGTCAGTAAAGAGTCGAAAAAGACTCGTGAAGTGAAAATAGGCTACTCATGCGCATTGAGTAAAAACGAACACTTTACGTGTCTTTTACGACTACTTACTGACTGTCAAGGGTCCTGAAATGTAAAGACATCAAATTAATTTGTACACGTGATAAAATCAATGTGATATATTACAATTTATATAAATGTATATAATACATTTTTATTATTTTTTAATGAAAAAAATAATATAAATATTTTTGAAAGTCCTATAAAAAATATTTTTCTAAAAGTACTAAAGAGTATTAGACACTTTTTTCACTTTAAAATAGCTACCCTGGCGATAACGATGATAATAAATATTCCATAAATGAGTTTAATTATCTAATACTAATATGTATTATAATTTCATGAAATTTCATTATAATCAAAAAGTAATTAAAATTAATAATATTAAATTAAAATTAAATTTATAAAGATACTGATATTTTTATTTATACAGACAATGTTTTTCAAATTATTACAATAATTATTTAAAAAATCGATTTCTTCGAAATATAGGCCAATGACTGAAATGGCCGGACACGTATCGTTTTTTTTTTTCACTCAAGAACAGCCTGTAAAAAGCACATAAAAATCCCCGACTTCATCACCTGGTGTTCCCTTTGTAGATTTAGCGAAGAACTCAAGGCAAGAACTAATTAAAGAATCACTAAGCGCTAACTGATTAATTTTCTCTGCTGAACGCAGCCATTGCTATGTTAATTGTAACTGAATATAATGTCTAATTTACTTTCAAATAAAAATTAGTAAGGCATGGACTTTTAAGTCACTTTTATTTCACTGGAATATTTTTAAATCTTATTTAGTATAAATTTTATATTTGGTCTCAAACTTTTGGTCAGCAACTTTTGGTATGTTCCGTAATATTTTTAAATAAACAAATTTCTTTTTTTAGGATCTTCAAAAACAATTGTTAGATTCGAACTTGGATCCAAAAGAACTGGAACAAGCTCGAGAGTGTCAAAAGCGTGATTATCCGCAAGGCATTCCAGAATGTGGAACGGATGCTCTGCGATTCGCGCTTTGTGCTTACACTACCCAAGGACGAGATATAAATCTTGATATACTTCGTGTACAAGGATACAGATTTTTCTGCAATAAAATATGGAACGCTACAAAATTTGCACTTGTCTATCTTGAATTTCAATTTAAATATAATGCAAATGATAGGGTAAATTTTAATATTATTAAATCATCCGTGTTCTGCTTATAAAGTATTAACTATATATATAATTATGAATTATTTTATACCAGAAATTGAATAATACTTGTATTGACGTGGGAAATGGCAAGTGGTACCAGTGGACTTTGAACGAATCGTGCGTGCAAAAGGCATTAAATAATTACCTGGCTGATTATTCGTATCTTGATGGTTATACACCTTCGCAACTTGACCTGTCGGTTTATCAATCATTGAAAGAATTGAACATTGATTTCGCAAGGCATCTACACATTAAACGTTGGTACAATCATATCGCGACATTTACGGACGAAGAAAAGGCTGTATTTCGTGCTGAACAAAATAAAATAATGCCGAAACTTACATACATTAATCAGAATCAAACCAATAATGATGATACATTTGAGGTAAAGTCGTACGTATTTAATATATAAATAACACTTTTGTTTAGAAAGAGGTTGCAAAAATTTTGATTTCTTTGTTCATAATATATGTTTCTTATAGCTAACTGGAAATGAGACAAATGTAGATTTATGGATGTTATCGCGTGTTAGTTATGCTGCCGGAACTTGTGACGAAGCAATTAAACAGTATGACTTTGCATTAGCTACTACTACCTGTTACAATTTATGGTTATACGATCTGTGTGATATTTATCTGGTAAATTTTTTAATATGATTCGTTATGATATAAGGAAAAAAATTTGTTATAATAATATAATAATTTGCGTGTCTAGGAATATCTTAAAACAATTTTCCAAAGTGAAGATAACGCGACTAAGTTAGCAGCTCAAAAAGTATTATTTATAACACTGGACGTGGGATTGCGTTTATTGAGCCCATTTATGCCGTTTATAACAGAAGAATTGTATCAACGTTTACCTCGTAAAAAATTAATATATCCAAGTATATGTGTAAGTCCGTATCCGGATGTTGTCAAGGTGAATAATTATTTTATAACCGTGATAATAAAACATGCAATTAAAATATTATAATAGCGTAATATGTCTGATGTATTTCAGTATTGTTGGAGAAATCAAGAAATTGAAAAGGACGTTGATTTTGCGCAAAAAATAATTAAGAATATTCGATCTGCTCGCGCGACTTATAATTTACCTAATAAAACGAAAACCGAAGCGTATGTCACATGTAGCAATCCAGCATTAAAGGAGAAAATTATTCGATATAAATTACTCATAGAAACTCTTGCATACTCTGTTCTTAATATGCAAAAACCACCAGTAGGCTGTGCTATTATTACTGTAACTAATAAGATTCAAGTGCATCTATTATTACAGGTAATTAACACATCATGTAATATACATATATACAGAGTGTAACTAAAGTAACAAACTTCGGGTTTCTCACATCAAAACATGAAAAAAAATTCATATGAACATATATTCGTAAATTCATTTATTGAGATTCAGCTCAAAGTGTGGGCAACTCGGCCCTGAAATTATTATTTTAGTTATCTTATTTTAGTTACATCCTGTATACCTTAATTATTATTATATATAATTATATATTACATTCATACGCAAAAAAAAACCTGGTCACTAAGTTTTTTCACAAATTTTTAATATTTTCAAATAGCAATAACACAGTGAAAAATCGTATCGAGATTTTTAAAAAAGCATTTTAAAGCTTGGAATTTCTACTTTTCAGACCGGTTCTTCAAAAAATGGAACTACTGATATTATAAAATTACACAAACATAAAGTTATACAAACATGAAGATGCATAAATTCTTTAAACTTTTTATGAAATCTCATTTTTTTCAAATTTCGAAGTTCCACAGCGCCAATTAAAAATTACGCACAAATGGGGTTTACAGCTTCGAAAGAATGAATCTTTACATTTAATTTACTTTTTTATAGATCTCTGTACGATTTTTTTTCACCGAGTTATTCAACATTAAAGCAAAAAGGATCGTTTTTTGCGTGTGAGTGTATATTTATTATATGAATATAATAAATATATATTTCGCAGGGTTTGATTGACTCAAAAAAAGAGTTGGAAAAATTACAAAAGAAAAAAAGCCAATTAATCGAAATTATACAAAAATTGAAACAGGATTTAGCAGTACCCGATTATAATGTAAAGGTGCCTCTTGATGTTCAAAAGAATAACAAGGAAAAGTTAGTCAATAATGAAGGCGAACTGCAGCGAATTATTGACGCAATAATGATTTTGCAAACAATGTAGAAAGTAAATCCATTGGAAATTTTGTAAACTCTGTATTATTTATCAATAAATAACTTATTTGTTGAATTATGTTATAGAAAATTTAGTTAGAAATTCTTTTCTTTTTCGTATACGCACACTTTTTTTTAACATGTTCCATATTGTGGATTACCGGTGACTCATATTTGATTTTTGGACGTTTGGATGTTTTAATTATAAAAGAAAATATATAATTATATATAACGGAAATTTCTCTATATGTAATCGAAATCTCCAGTGAGATCCTTCAGAACACATAAGATGGAACAGATATAAAGTACCGTGACTTTCAATCAACTTCTCACTTATCAGACGAACCTCATAGCCATCCAATATGAATGTATCCATGCTACTCACTCACTGAGACATTCTTTTCATTTTCTTCGAGACTTATTTTCCTCATTATTTTCATTATTAAATAGACATAAAGCATATTCCTTTTATTTTTGTCGATATATCTAACACAAATAAAAATTTGAAAATGAGCGTAAAAAAATAATTAATAGAAATTATATTGACAATCTAGGATAGGAGGGTGCAATAATTAACAAGCTCATTTTTAATTATGTTTCATTTTATCGTAAATTTTCTGACGGAAGCAGTCTTCAAACAAAACACGATGGTGCGTACCATTAACATGGAATAAGTGGGCACATCGCGACTATTGCGTAAAAATATTTGCGTACTCATTCTAATGCCATCGAAAGATTTTCCTGGTGAGATTCTTAGATGGTGATATTAAAAACGTATATTCGGATGTTTGAGGATGCTGGCAATCTCACCGAGAAAGTCGCGTCCACGGCATCGATATCCTACATAATATTCCGTTTCTCTTTCTTCGGACGCTATCGCGATGTACCCGTTAAATAGCTGCGTATACTCGAGTGTGTGCCGAGTCGTATAATACAGCAAAGCCGAATATTTTAGTGTAATAAGTTGTGCGTGCTATCCGTAATGTTTGTGTGCGAAGACAATGAATTTGGATTCTCGTCATGACAAGCGCGTCATGAGCCGCGTCCCAATAATTTTCGCGGATAATACATCATAACAAACATACAGGAAGAAAAAAATATAATGTTCCAAAATAATAATTTACAGACAGAACGTAAGAGAAAGAAACAGAGAGAGATTAATATTAGTCTTCTAGTTCTCTCTTTCTTTCTGTATAAAGACATCATCATACTCTAAAAATGTTTATTGTGGTCGAGCCGCTCCGGCTCGACTATTCGATCGTATCGCGTGCGTTCCGATTAAATTTAGCGAAAGCAAAAAGATCAGAGTGTGGAAGATACAGTAACGATCGGTCAGGCATCGTTACGGCACCCACGAGTCGAACACGTATGAGAGCGGATGAGATACACTCTTTTTGGAGAACACATTTGGAATAGATTCATCAAGGTATAGATATACTCTTCAATATTCACGAAATAATTCAGAAATATATTCTCCACGAAGAATATATCAGAGAAGCTCTAATTCTGTCGTCGACCGCGCTGATAATCGACGTATAACCCGGTACCAAGTTTGATTTCACAGCTCGCCGGGATTGACGACGTTAAGGGCAAACGCAGAGTTCGTTTCGCCTTTCTGACCGATCGCACGCGCCAAATATTGACCAACATCGCTGGCCGTGCACGTTTTAATGCCGAATTCGAAGGACGTGCTGCCGTCCGAGCTGAAGTGGTATCTGCTGCTCGTTTCGGGGATCGCCTTACCATCTTTCAACCAAGTCACTGAAAAATTCATGACATTATTAGCAACAATTTAGTAGCTTAATGGAGAATAAAAAAACAGAAAGGGAAATTATAAAAAAAATACTTTAATTATTGAATTGCTATTACAATTTTTACTCTATTACATATTTACTTAAAATATAATACTATTATAAAAATTTAGTACCTTTCAAAGGCGCGGTATCAGTCTTGCACGTGAAAGTAACCGACTCGCCTTCACTCACTGTTGCAGATTGTGGGAATGTCGCGAACGCTGGGCTTTTCGGCTCTTCGTTTAAAGCTGGAAAATGTAGATGAAAATTAAAATGTAGTCGAATGCAGATTTTTTTATTAAACGATTAATAATTATTAATAATTTCTTACCGAGTACGCTTAACGTGCACGACGAGTAGCTCTCTCCTGCGTCGTTGAAAGCTTCGCACGTGTAAGTACCGGAGTCCTCGGGGAATATCTCGGCGATGATTAGTTTGTAGATATTAGCCTCGCTAGTATATTGAAAGTCCTTGCTAGGCTTGATCTCTTTGTTATTATGCAGCCACACCACATCAAACTTCTTCGCGCCGATTATTCGGCAGCTAAGTGTCACAGCCTCACCATCTTTTACATACTTGCTCGTTAAGTGATCGACGATCTTCGGCGATTTATCGTCGCCCTGTTTCTTCCTGGCGGCGTTCTCCACAGCTAAAAAGAGAAGTTGGACTAAGCGACATGTCTTTCATAATTACTTTCTAATAAAATATAAAGATTATAAAAATAGCAAAAATTAAAACAAACAATAAAATTAAATCTCCACATAAGCAGATTGAATAAAACTATATTTGTGAATTAATATTTTTAATGATTGATATTATTGATAACAATACAAATACCCTTACGTTTTACAGTCAGTTTACAGGATGTCGTGTCGCTGCCGATGCTATTAGTCGCAAGACACGCGTATTCGCCTTCGTCCTCCGGGAATATCTCGTTGATCGTGAGAGTGGCCACCCCGTTTTTGTATTTGAGATCGATAATCTCTGACGAACTCAGCGTCTATAGAAAATTTTATTACACATAATAATCGCTAATAGAAATATATTTTTCACACGTGATTTTAATACATTTTCTGAAAATAATTATTACCATCCTTTTCTTACTATACTCATTAAATTACACGACAATTCTATACATCAATTTAATTCAAAGGCATTTAGATGATATTATTTTAATGATAATAAGTAGATTTTAAATTTATATATTTACCTTGCCGTCTTTACTCCAAGTAATTTGCGGCTCCGGATCGCCGTCGACTTTAGCTGTGAGTTCCAAATGTTCGCCATCATTGATCGTGAGATTCTTTAACTTTTGAATAAATTGCGGCTGTCTCATCGAATCGTCTGAGGGTACTTCAACATATACATTAAGATTAAATAAATTTTATATTAAATAGTCTAGCTATTCCAGATCTATTAAAACAATATTCTTACGGATGAGTTCTTTTGTAGTGCTTCTGGATCGAGACGGACTGCCAGTAGTGTCGAGTTTCGAGCCGTATTTCTTTATGCTTCGTTTATCAGATGATTCGTTTATTTTGACACTGGAGCTGTCCTACAATTGTACAAACAAAATGTATAAGTAATATTATTTTAAACAATATTAAGAATTTTTATTTTAGACCGCATATGTGAGAAACACAATCATTACTAGAAATTTAAAATGCCTATTACCGTTGAAGCTAATAGGCATTTTTAATTTCTAGTATTGATTGTGTTTCTCACATATGCGGTCCAAAATAAAGATTCTTAATATTGTTCATATTACGTCACCTGAAAGAAAGACGTTGTTTCCTTATTATATCGATTATATTTTATATATAATCATAATCTTATTTTGAAGAGATACCTTAGATGAAGAGATCGTAGAATTATGTTTGCCATTGTACGAAGAGCTTGATTGGCTTTGAGTGCTTGTGGAACTATACTTGTGAACTGTTACTATCGGCGGTGGTGCCGGTTTCAGTGGTTGCTCGATGAATTTTCGATCTTAGAACATAATCACTTATTATGAACGAGTGACATATATTCAAATATAATTATATATGTTTTGACATTTTGACAAAATTTACATGATTTCATATAAAAAGTAGTCTATAAATGAAACTAAACAAGCTAAAAAATAAACGAAAATTAATTCAACATGAAGTGCATATGTAGGATGTAAAAATGAAACGAATAAATATAATAATTTAAAGAAAGCTTTACCTATATCTTTGGAACAAACCTAGCTAAATAAAATAAAAATAATTTATGTACAGCTAATATGGTAGATAGCTGTACATATATAATTTTACATATTTGTGAAAAGCATAATTAATGAAAAAACTTATACATTTATATAGTTATAACTATATAAATGTATAAACATAAAAATATGTGTCTATCATCTAATGAAATATTGTTTTTAATAATACAGGAAGAAGATGGCAAACAGGATACATTCTTAAACAGCTCTACCTCCGGAATGTAGGAGGTCGTGCACTAATTTTACTTGCTCCTCCGTTTCTCCAGTGCCTACAAACAAACAATTAATGAAATCTATTTTATTAGTAAATTTAATATATTAGTAAATTTAATTTTACAAAAAATATCATTGACTTTATAAAATAAATCGAACAGTTCGGAAAACGCAAATAAAGCTTACAATTAAATCTAATTTGAATACTCAAAATATATATTTTATATAAATTACAAAATTAAATCGTTTTGTTCTTAGATCGTTAAACAAAAATTTGATTACAATGATGTATATTAATTGTTAAGAAATTTAAAGGTATAGTTCATATTTTTTAGTTTTTAGAATAATGATCTCAAATTATTGGCAATAAATATTAGGTATCATATTATTGTTCAGTTCCGTGAAATAGTCTCTCATCCTTTATTTTTTTTATTTCATACTTAATCGTTATATCATACCTTCTACGATGACTACGCAACTAGTCTCGTCTTTGCCATGTTTATTAGTTGCCACACAACGATATTTGCCGCTATCCTCCGGCTTGCAGTCAACGATCTCCATTGTGACGACACCGTCGGCATTGCTCATGGGGTAATTGTACTTGGACAATTCCTCTCTGTCCTTGTACCATTTTACGGTGGGCGGTGGATTGCCACTCAGACAGCAGAGCAGCTTGCAAGTCTGTCTGATCTGTATGACACGTGGTCGTAACAGGAACGTGAAGCTCGGTGCCGATTCGATCGTCTCCAACCACACGTTGTAGCCAAGCGGTTCTCGTCTGCGTACAGGATGCAGCTCGGGCCTGTACTTCGGAATTTCTCTCGGCAGTGCTGAAAGAACGAGAAATGAAAGAATCATACATATATATTTTTTAGATTTGTAAATGTAAAGCCAATAAAAACATCGATTAATATTCAATGACAATTAAATAGCCCAAATATAAGTAGATTATTCATCGAAGTATTTAAAAAATGTAAAACCGTGTGCATTTAAAGTCATTTCAAATTAATACTTTTCTTAAATTTAAATGGAATATAAATTTAATTATAGTTATCTAAAAATATTTATCTAGTTAAAAGTATCAAGTCATGTTGCAAATAATTTTCTCCCAAAATTACGTAATTGCAGCATATATAAAATTCTGATAGAAATTCTTACGTTGTACATTAAGGAAGACGACTTCTTCACGATAACCATAATGATTTTCCGCGCGTATAATGTACTCTCCTCTGTCTTCCAACTTAACTCTGTTGATAATAAAGGTGTAATCATCACCATGATATCGTTTCATAAATTTAACAGATTGCCGTAACTCTTGATTATTATGTGACCAAGATAAGGTTGGTGCCGCAATCGCGATCACGCGACAAGTGAATTTCACACTCTGTCCTTCATAGGCGAACGCACTTTGCGGTTTGATGACAAATCTCGGTGCTGCTTGTCGACGATCTGTAAAAATATAATTAATTTAAGAATTATATATTAGCGAGATTTTAATTATTTTATATATTAGTATTTATCTCGGGTATTTGATATGTATTATTAATATTTATTAATATACACATATATATATCATTTTAAAAATGACAAATTAGACATAATTGGAACTTTTCTGATGTTTAAATATACTTAATTTATAGATGATATTTTTATTTTGTATTAGAATTAGTAATTGATTCATGTTTTAAATTGCTTCGTGTTTTTCGAGGCAGACTTCCATGAAAATTATAATTATTTATTGATTTTTATGCATTCACTCACCGAAGCAAGAATCATAAATTCTGTATTTCTCGATTAAAAGTTTCCTGAGCGATGAGTACTCGGCTAGGCGACCGATGGGAAGAACATATTTGTCCCAGTTTTCGTACTTGGCACGCAATCTATCTCTGATGCTTAAGTAACGACTGTTGGCGATTGGATTGGTCCACTTGCTATGATCGCCGGTCAACCATGGATGAAGGAGACACTCGTGCGCAGTCATGCGCTTCCTGAAGGACAAAACACAGCAATATAAACGAAATAATAACAGAGAGAAGCAGAGAGAAGAGAGGAAGGTTTGTGAAAAAAACATACTCTTTATTTTTGACGAGTAGTCGCCTGATGAAATCTTTACCCTCCTCGGAAACGTCGCGGAATGCCTCCTCGTCAAAGTCCCAATCGCATGCCTTCACATTTTTCAAGGTCTCGATGTCGTTATCACCGGCGAATGGTGAAAGACCGCTCAATCTATGCAAACGATGCATGCTAATCGATAGAGTTTCTTTTTTTTTTAAATAAAATATTAACATACAAGTATACGTAAGTGTCTCAGTTATTTAATTTCAGAAACTTTCAATAATTGCAAATTGAGCAATAACTGCCTTAAATAAAATTAAATATTTTATTATTGTTATAGATTATTTATTACTGAAGTTTTGTCATAATTGGAACTATAATAGTGAACTATAATAGTAAAATAAATCGAACATCTCTCAAGAAACGCGATATATTTTCTCGCTTCTGTGTTATGTGATAAAAAGTCTACTTACAGGACATAAGCTAGTACACCACAGGCCCACATATCGGTATAAAAACCGACAGGTTCACGTTCAACAATCTCGGGAGCGGCAAATTCAGCCGTGCCTGTACTGATCTTTACTACTTCATTCGGATCCAGTTTAGTAGCTAGACCGAAATCGATCAGTTTCACATTCGTGCTGTTACGAGTTTGGCACATGATGTTCTCGGGTTTAATATCTGAAAATAATCAAATATTGCATTAAAATAATAGGAACATTTAATAAATTAGCTCGCAGTATTTATGTAACATCTAAAATTTAACATACAAATTTTTGGAGAAGTTTTTAATTTAAAACAAAAATTGTCACTACGAAGAATAGATATCATGATAGTTTATGCTTTATTTTATATTGGCATTATAATCAACGATAAACAAATGATAATTTGTTTGTGGAATTCATTGTTAATGTTTGAAAAATATTTCTTTTTAAATGTAGACTTAAATTTATATTAAAATAAAATTTGATTAAACCTTAAATTAATTAATGAAATTTATAACAAATTCCATGTGTATTATAAAAAAATTGTTAAAATATTTATATCTTACCGAGATGGATAATGTTCTTCTCGTGCATATGCTTGACTCCCTCACAGATCTGCCTCATATAATTAATGACTTCCGCCTCAGACATAGTATAACCCTCGGCCGTAATCCTCTCGAATAGTTCTCCGCCGGACAAGCTAATGAAACAAATAATTGAGATCAAGGATAACACAAACCCGTCATAATCCGCCGTCGGATTTAATAGCAAACAATTTTTTTGTCCAAATACTTACAATTCGAAAATCAGCACCATCTCATCATCATCTTCAAAGGCGTCGTGCAGGTTGATCAGCTTGGGATGATGCAGTTGATTCATGATGTCGATCTCCTTTCTGATTAGCTCCTTCTCCATCACATGCGATACCGGGATAAATTTAGCAGCGAAGATGTTACCGGTGGTCCTCTCGCGGCAGCGATGTACCACACCAAACGCGCCAGTGCCGATCTCCTCCAGAATGTCATATTTGTCGTAGACTGATGTGTGCTTGATTTCAACTGGCTGCGGCACGTATTTACTATACACGTCGAACACGAACTGGTCATAGTCGCGCGGCTTCTCATCTTCGCGGCCACGTATTTTCTTGCCGCTCGCGTCCACCTCATATTCTTTTTTCTTGAACTCGCGCTTGATCACGCCCTTCGTAGTGATCAACGGCGTCACTTCACTCGGATCCGAACGACCATAGATGTTCTCTGCACACACCCGGAAATCATATTGCTTTCCAGGGCTAAGACCGGTTACTGCAAGCGTGCAGAAGCGAGTGTTGCCAGCACGGATCCAACTGCTCATCGGATGTTCACGCTTCTCCACCACATAGTTGGTGATGTTACTGCCACCGTCCCAAACTGGCGGCTTCCAGCTGACCGCTAGCGAGTCATGACCGACATTATCCACTTGCGGGAATCTAGGCGGATCTGGACGATCGCTGATCTGAATCTTGATGATGGCTGTATCCTGGCCGAGATCATTCTCAGCGGAGATGCGATATGGACCGGAGTCCATACGACTGCCATCACGTATCGTCAAAACAGCGTGCCGCTCTTTCACCTCGACAGCGTAATGTCCACCAGACTCGATCACCTCGCCTTCGCGTACCCACGTAATCTTTGGTTTCGGATAACCGGTAAAAGGAATCTTGATGACGACATTCACACCTTTGTCGAAGAAGGCAGTGTCACGGAAACGTGGCGGCACATTTAGCTTCGGCGGTGTCTTGATGAAAAGTTCACCCTTGGTGGATTTCACGCCGCATTTATTTGCTGCACGGCAGAAATACTCATCGGCGTCCTCGCCGAACACGTCGTGGATGATAAGATTATGGGTATCGTCCTCGGAATAGGTGTTGTAGCGACTACCACTCACAATCTCGCGGGCGCCCTTGAACCAAGTGATGTTTGGCTTCGGTGTGCCGATAATCTTGCATTGGAAGTGGGCATTGTGATTCTGGACGCAATTCACCTGATAAAAAGAAAATGAGAAAAAAATAATTAAATTTTTTGGATCAAATCGCATTTCTGCATTATTTAGAATTTTAGTTACTTACAATAATTACTTATAATCAAGGTGCAAATTGAAGAAATACAAACCTTCTGAAGAGGTTGAATGATTTCCGGAGGCTTCGCCGCTTGTGGATCAACAATCTTTACAGAGGTCGAAGCTTTCGATTCAGGACTAAGTCCTGCAATATTTTGAGCAAATACCCGGAACTCGTATTGCCTTCCTTCGATCAAATTGCTGATATTGATCTGCGTTGGCAGGCAGATACTGACGTTTACACGCTGCCATGCCTGACTGCCAACTTCTCTCTTATCGATCCAGTAACCCTGGATTTTGGCACCACCGTCCGTTTCTGGTTTCTCCCATGAAAGATTGACAAAGTCTCCACCCACTTCAATGACTTTAGGCGTACCAGGTGGTCCCGGTGGATCAAACGGTGCCTTGGCCTTAATCGGGTTAGTGCCCTCTAATGGCGGGCCCATGCCATTGTCGTTGGCAGCCATCACTCGGAAAAGATACTCCTGACCCTCGGTAAGTCCCTGCACGACGAAAGTACAGTCTTTACAGAAGGATGACACGATGATCCAATGCGTGTGGCTGACATCGCGACGCTCCACCACGTAGTGGGTGACTCGAAGACCACCATCATATTTGGGTGGATGCCAAGACAAGGTGCATGTATGCTTATCGATATCAGAAACATCAAGCGGTCCAGTTGGCGGTCCGGGCAATCCAGTAATATATACGTTAAAGGACGCGCTGACGCTGCCACTGTCGTTCGAGATGGACAAATCGTAAATGCCTGCATCGTCCTTTTGGATATCTTTGATGAAGATAATAAGGTACTCGTCGAACACAGTGTATTTGATGTGTGTTGTCTCCACGATTTGGCGACCATCTTTCTTCAGAGTCACTTCCATCGGTTGATCGCCACTGTAGTAAATCTTAATCTTCGTGTTATCGCCTTCCGGTAGATAGAGATCGTTCGGCATGCGTTCGATGCGTGGCGGCGTGCCGATCTTTAGCCTGCACGTGGTCACGGCGATGCCAAGCGGATTCGAAATCTGGCAGCTATAATCACCGTCGTCTGCGTCCCATACTTCGGATATCACCAATCTATAAATGCCATTTATTGCTTCGGCGCGGAAGCGACCTCCTAAAGTGATCTCACGACCGTTCTTCAGCCACCTGAACATGTTCAAATTATAATAATATTAAATCAAAATTAACAGCATAACATATAACACCTACATGATATATTTAAAGATACATTTTAATTGTTATGATACTAGACTTAGAACTAATTCCATTTTAATTTATATAATAAATCTTATTTAATAATAAGAAAACCAGCAAAAATAAATTTTTGCTAACCTGGCAGTTGGCAATGGTTTACCCGTAGCCTCGCATTCGAGAACAAGAGTCTTGCCAAGTGGTATAATCTGACTGATTGGCAAGTTTCTGATAAACTCCGGTTTCTCGCCACCTTCGACCTCACAGATTTTTACTGGGGTAGTGCATGAGCTTGGCTCGGATCTGCCAGCTGCGTTCACCGCAAAGATCCTGAACTCGTAGTCACCCCGCTCAATTAAGTGCATGACCGTGTACTCGGTATCGATGACATTATACTCGTTACACTTGGACCACATTGCACTGCCCACCTCGCGCTTCTCGATCACGTAACCAGTGATCCTGCTACCGCCGTCAGACACGGGCGGTTCCCATCGCAAATCAACGTAATTCTTGCCGACCTTGGTGACTTGTGGCGTACCAGGTGGTGATGGTACATTGAACTTGCTCTTGAGTTTAAACGGCGCGGACGGTGGACTTGGCTTACTGAAACCGGCTGCGTTCTTCGCGCGAATTCTAAATTCGTACTCATGACCGCTCATTAGACCATAGCACACGTATGTGGTATCCTTGAAAAGGTAATCGTTTGCCACGCGCCATTGCACATCCTCAGCGGGGTCGCGGAATTCGATCTTATAGCCCTGTAATTGACATATTATATTAATATAATATTGCATTAAGACATAATACGTAGAATACATAATATTAGAATAATTAATACATAATAATAGAATATATTAGCATTGTTACATCAATATCAGAAAAAATTTCAACTTTGACAGTACGAAAGAAATTTTTTAATTCAAGGAATTTATTTGACATCGACTAGCTTTAAATAATGCAAAATTTTGAATAGTAGTCCATTACAAGCGCACGCTACGCGCAACTTCAATTTATCTTAATTTTTACAAATTGATCTATATGATAGTTCATATTAAATTAACATGAATCCCTAATAAAATAGTGTTTTAATTGTCGTGATTGGTCTTTTTGTGACGAAAGAAAATCTTTCAATTTCAAAACATTTCAATCAATGACACTTTATACTTACATTATTCGGTATATATATTTACTCAATTTTTAAATAACGACAAAAAACATTATTAATCATTTTTTCCTTCAAATTTTAATTTTTAATCTGAATCAACATATCTGAAAACCCTTTATGCCATATTGGATCAGGCATTTTTTAATTTCAAATTTTAAGTTCAAAATCGAAATCCGCATCAATGAAAAATCCTCTCTTGTTGTTGAATATTCTATCAGCCCTTCCCTTCCCTTCCCCCCTCCCACGTATTAATAACAACCGATTTGGAAAATAAAATATACTAGATTTATGCCCTATATATGCGCTTTCATATTCACATACTTCCAATTTTTGCGCTGCATCTCATTTTGAATTTTCAAATTTTGAATTCGCATTCAGAATCAGAGATTCTAAAAATCGAACGCTACATTTTGCCGAAACCGAGCGACATTTAGCATTTCCGTGCGCCATATTGGTTTAGCCATTTTGAATTTTCAAATTTGGGTTTCGGATTCGAAATCAGCAACCCCGAAAACCTATTAATACTATTTCGTTGAAATCGGAAGATTTTTAACATTTCTGTTCGCCATTTTATAAGCCATTTTAAATTTTCAAATTTTGGGTCTGGATTCGAAATCAGCGACCCCGAAAATCCTGTATTACTACATATCGCTGAAATCGGAAGACTTTTAGCATTTTCGTAAAACTTGAAGCCGCCATATTGATTCAACCATTTTGAATTTTCAAATTTTGGGTCCGGATTCGAAATCAGCAATCCCAAAAATCTTTTAATGCTAATGCTTCAATGGATACAAAGTACTCTCAATAGCCTCAACGAAGAGGCTTCAGGCAATGTAACACGGCAATTTTAAGATAGGATTTTATAATAATATTCATATCTTGTAGGTATAAGTTTTTTTTTACACACCTGAATACGAGAACCACCGTCGGATAATGGTCTTGTCCAGACCACTGTGGCATTCGAGGTATCCCAGTCGATGATTCGTGGCTGTCCAGGTGGATCTGGCACCGTGAATGGGAATTTAGCTGTTATCGGTTCATCAGCTTGCAACGGATCAGATATGCCATATTGATTCTCTGCTCTTACGCGGAAGTTGTACGTGCGATTTGGCTCCAGACCGATCACATCGTAATGCGTGCTTCTCACAAAGCTGCTAAGCTTCACCCAGAACTGGAAGAAATTTGAAAGAGCAATAAAGATATCGATATCTATCTGATGTCATATTTTATATCATAAGAAAAAAATAATATTATCTTCTTTATGATTATTATTTTGAATTTCTTAAATAAAACTTACACCAGCCGGATCCAGTTTCTCGACTATGTAATTCGTGATTGGCGAACCACCATCATCGAAGGGCGGTTTCCATGTCAACGTACAGGTTTCCGGAGTGATATCGGAGATATCCAAAGGCGCCAAAGGTGGCGATGGTTTGTCTAAAAAGGAAATAATCTTATAGTCTGCATATGCTTGTAAGATCAAAATATTTAATTCAAAAAAAATTTTCAAAATTATTCTGCTACTTTCTAAATACGATTATCTAGAATTTAATAATAAATAAATCCAGGATATAACTTAAGAAATGAGATGACGTAATAGGATATTTACCAACAACTAGGACCTTGCATGAGGCGGAATCCGTGCCGACAGTGTTTGTGAGATATATCGTGTACGTGCCGGTATCCGATCTCTTTGCCTTTTTGTTAATAAACTGTGAGGCTACGTCGGTTGTCTCGAACTTGATCCTCTCGCCAGTGAGAACTTCTTCGCCATTGATAGACCAATTCGGTCTTGGTTTAGGATTTGCCGTATACGGCACCGTAATGGTGAATGGTTCTCCAGCAATCACAGTCATATCGCGGATGCTGAGGTCGCTCGTGATCTTTGGTGGGACTGTAACAAAAATATTGATATGTTGAACATTTGAATCAGCTGAAGAATCACGATAAAAGTTAAATTAAATATATATAATAATTTTACGTATTTTAATTAAAAAATATATATTTTTTATTTGTAGAATAAAGTATTTTTAAGTAAGATATATTTACATGGTGCAGCGCTGGCGCGAATAACATCGGAGTTGGAACTCCATGGTCCGCGACCGGCGGCATTTTCCGCAGCTACCCGAAACTCGTAATCATGATTCTCAATCAATCCAGTAACCCTAAGAGACCAATGAAGAGAATTGTTAAAACTTCTTGTTAAAATTATAGATGTTTTTCAAGATATATTATAATAGCACAGGTTACTCACTTGTAAGTGGTGTCATGTACCAGAGCCGGTGTGGCCTTGACCCACTTATCTTCGTTCAGAAGACGCTTCTCGATGACGTATCCAAGGATCGGCGAACCACCGTCGTGACGAGGTTTGGTCCAGGTAATGGTGATGCTATCCTCGGTGGTCTCCACACCACGCGGTGTGCCAGGTGCACCCGGAGGATCGAACGGATGTCGCGCCTTAATGGGATCGATTGTCGTTGCTGGATCTGACGTACCATACTGATTCTCCGCCATCACTCGGAACTCATAGACTTGACCGACCGTCAAATTTCTGACTCGCACAAACGGTGTCGTAACATAGCTGCTTACCTGCAAATTTTTTTCTTTAGAATTTTTGGAAAACTCTAGAATGTCTAGTGTAGAACCTGATATAAAATTATTTTCAAATTAATTTTTCTCTATGCCAGTTTTCTTAATTAATCCTTCCTCTTATTCCTTTTATCCAGATATCATGATAACGATTTTGATATATTTCTCACCTTAGACCATGTGGCGGCCTTCGCTTCCTTCTTTTCGATCACGTAATTAGTGACATCAGCACCACCATTGTCCTTGGGTGGATTCCAGAAGAGAGTAAGAGCATCGCCACCGAATTCATCCGCGCGAAGATTTTCGGGTGGACTAGGACGATCGAGGACCTTGACATTAACGGTTGCTGTATCAAATCCAGATGAATTGCGTAACTGGAGTCTATACTGCCCTCCATCTGAACGTTTTGCATTCTTCACTACCAGACTGCAGTAAAAAATCAATTAGTATAATATAACATGTAACATCATTATTATCTTCGTTAATCACCGAGATAAAGAAAAATTCTAGATATTTCATATATGATCAGAAATTTCTTTCCAATTAATAAATTATTAAATGGTTTCTATCATATTATAGTTATATTTACTAAATAATAAATTAATAAACTAATAAACTTTATGTCTTATTTTAATTCTCGTTTTCTCAAAAGAAAACACACACCTTGCGAAATCATCAGCCAGTTGTTGATGCACACGTGGATCAGTTTCATCCTTAACGACGTCATTGGCAAACCACGTGGCGGTCGGTTTAGGGAAGCCAATGTAAGGCACGTGAATAGAAAAGTCCTCGCCGGCACGAACAGTAATGTCACGGACTCCACCAAGATCCATAACCGGTTTGTTAGGTTGTTCTTCGATGACAATTGGATTACTGGGTCGGCTCGGGTCGCTGCTGCCGACATCGTTCACTGCAAACACTCTGAAGAGATACTCCTCGCCCTCTTTCAAATTTGGCACAGTATATACGTTGCTCGGTATGGGCGCACCATTTACATCTGACCAATCGTCATCACCTTTAGCTTTCTTTTGGATGATGTATCCTCGAATCTTTGAACCACCATCGCTTCGCGGTGATCGCCAACTTAGGGTTACTGAATCCTTGGTGATCCTGTCTGCCTTGGGCGGCTCAGGTGCATCAGGACGTACTATAATGATAATGTAACTAAATATCAGAAGATGCATATAATAATTAAAACTAATAATCAATATTTATAGTTATAAAAATAAAATTCCGAATTAAAACTAATATTAACAATTAGATTTAAACCAAGATTAAAATTAAAATAAATGTTAGTGATAAAATAAAGCTTATATAATTCAACTTATATAATTCAATTTATAACGTTTTAAAATAAAATTAATTCTTTGCATTCGGATCGCATTTATTGTAATATATTATTATGATTTATTGAAGTATGCTTACAGCGTTGATGTCCGGCTATGATTGGTTCAGTGGGTTTGCTGGGTTTTCCAGGTCCAGCCTCATTAACAGCACTCACTCTAAACTCATATCGCGAACCTTCGTGAAGATCTTGCACGGTAAATGTCGTATTCGGTGTCGGGTAATTGTTGACCTTCAACCATTCGCCGCCGCGCTCACGCTTTTCCACGTAATAACCTAAAGAAGATAATAACATAGACAGTGTGAGTAAAAAAAAATGTAAATTTCTACATTATTTCATCAAAAAAATTAAAATTAAACTTTCTATTATATATATATTTAAATTTTTAATAATTTCAAAGAAGCTTTTTAAAATTATTAAAAATTTTATATTACATTAAATTGTAGCTTTAATGTAATATAACGTTAAATAATAAAAATTAATTATCGTATCTGTATTTAAGAGACCAACAATTATACAATAATTTATTGCGATAACTTACCAGTTATAGGTTTTCCTCCGGTATTGATAGGTGGGTTCCATGCGAGACTGCAGCTATTAGGAGTGTAACCAAGAATTTCAGGTTGATTTGGTGCATCCGGTGGATCATACGGACTCTTGGCGATCACGGGTTTGCCCTCCAAGGGCTCTGACACACCGTACATATTCTCGGCACGGACTCTAAAGACATACTTTTTGCCTTCAGTCAAGCCCTTCGCCGTGAAGTTCGTCCTGGGAACGTATCCCGGCACTTGTCGCCAATTGTCAGAATCATAATCAGAAACTTCGACAATGTAGTTCGTGATATCAGATCCGCCATTGTCCACCGGTGGATTCCAGGATAGGCCGACGGATTCCTGCGTCGTGCCAGTGTATTGCAAAGGACCCTGAGGTGGTCCAGGTTTATCCACGACTATCACTTCGATGTCAGCCGAATCTTTTCCATGCTCATTCGTCGCCGTCACGGTATACATGCCACCGTCATCTCGCACGGATTTTTCGATCAGAAGTTGTGTTCGATCGCTCTTGGTCTCAGTCTAAGAATATAATAAAAATAAGAAAATGTACGTTCACAGTAAAGAGTAAAGACTAAGAGTATAAACTAAAAAATAAAGACTAAGATATGAATTGAAAGAAACTCTACAAGATAAGAAATAAAATTTAAAATTTATGTTCCATAAACATAAAAAAATAATTGTAAAAGAAAATCTCTAAAAAAATTTTTTTAATTAATAAAAGCATTTAATTTATAGCTTAATTCAATTTATAATTATTATTCATAATTATTAATAAATTGTCGTATAGTTTGATTCAATTCAATTCCAGTCAAATTAATTTAATAAAAAATTATTTCTTATTATCTTTATTGTAATTCTAAAACTAAATTGAAAAATAAACCTACAGATAGGCGAAGAGTTTCCATGAGCGATCTTCCATCCTTGGTCCATGCGATCTTTGGTGTGGGCGCGCCGGACAACGGTATATTGACATTGATTGGTTCTCCAGCGCGGACCTTGATCTTACGTCCGATTAGAGCATCCAGATGAAGTTTCGGTTTCTCCTTCATAGGTTTAGCCGTGAACACGGATGAAGTCTCACTTGGTTTTCCGGCGCCTGCGGCATTTATAGCCGACACGCGATATTCATATTGATGACCCTCAGTCACATGATCATCGTAATATTCAGGATATCTGACAGATGATCTTGGATCCGCCGTTGCTAATAGGCGGAGTCCATTTGATCTTGATATGATCTTTATCAGCGTCCACGCATTCTGGCTTGCCGGGTTGTCCAGGAACAACTAAGCAATTAATTGAATATAACAATATGTTAACAAAGTAAGAAAACATAAAAAGCAAACATTTGGAAGAATTTGGATAAATTTCCATATCTATAAATTTATGAATTCGGAGAATTCAATATAAAGATATTAATTTTAAATTGTTATCATATTAAACAAGTGAGGAACAATTTTGAATCCTTAAGGATCAATTCCAAAAATCATAATAACTTACATAAATATATAATTAATGATTTATAGTTTTAGAGTTGTTTCAATTGAAGTAATTATAATTTGAAACTAATAGAATTAATATTCTATTAATAGTACTTACCGAATTGATTTTTGGCAACAACAGATCGATCGGTGGTCAATGGTTCAGAACGACCCTGAAGATTTTCTGCAGACACGCGAAATTCGTAGGTGGTTCCTTCCAGCAACCTTGGCACAGTGGCATGATTATACTTGGGATTGACATGTGTAACTGCAGGTACCCAACCACCACCATGTGTGAGATCGCGCTTTTCAATGACGTATCCACTGCAAAATATAGAACAAACATGTATAAGAAATTATTTTGTGTACTATTAATGCTATTCTTTTTTACATGTATATATTGTATAATTCATAACAAATTAACATAAACTAATAATTTTAATGTGATAATTTTATTATAGAATTATAATTTAATAAGTACAGGAAGAGAGAGAGAGAGAGAGAGAGAGAGAGAGAGAGAGAGAGAGAAAGGAGAGGAGAGTTAACAAGTCTAGAAAACTTGACCATACGGGAGAGTTGAACAATTATTTGAATATTTTATCTAGGATTCTTTCTGTATTATTTTTAAAGCAAAGTCATAAAAAGATTTTGTAAATTCAAAATATATATCGAATAAAGTTCATTTCATAAATAATGAAATTAAAAATTTACTTACGTAAGTTCGCTGCCTCCATTATCCTTGGGTGGCTTCCACGAGAGCGTGACGGATTGATTGGTGATTTCCTCATATTGCAAAGGACCTTCCGGCGGTCCAGGTTTATCCAAGACGGTCACTTGGAAGCTGCCTTCATCTATGCCGCTGCTATTCTTTAGCAACAAATGATATAATCCCGAGTCAGACCTTTTAGCGTTAACGATATGCACAATTGTATGATAGCCAATCGATGTGATCGTCGTTCTGTCATTGGAAGTCAATTCATTGCTTCCTACACTCCAAGTTGCCTCCGGCGTCGGTTCGCCAATGAAGTCGATATCCACGTGAAAAATAAGTCCAGCCTTGATACGAACGTCCTGCAAGGGCGTCTTGATTTTCGGAGCCACTAAACAAATTGAAGGAAGTTAAATGTAATGTGTAAACATGTAATGTCCAAAAATATATTGTAAATAAATTCACAATATATTGAAGATTTAGAATATAAAAAATCAGTATGCTATATAAAATAATAATTTATAAATCTATAAAATTAAAAAAAAAATTATTTATTACTGTTATTTAAATCTTATTATATTGTTCAATCACTATTTAAATTAATTATATGAAAATTCACAACTTACGAAAACGAGGTTTGGCAGTGACGAGATCACTAGGTTCCGATGGTTCAGATTGACCGGCGGCATTGACAGCGATCACACGGAATTCATAATCCTGACCTTCTGTCAGATCCGGAACAGTCGTGCTGTTTTGACCAGCCGGCACGTGTACTGCATTCACCCAGTAAGGGCTGCCTTTCTCCTTCTTCTGAACAATATAGCCTGTGATCGGTGATCCACCGTCATTCTTTGGCACCGGCCATTGTAAATCTACATGGTCTTTGTCCCAGTCCATGATTTGCGGTTTGCCAGGCGCGTCCGGTTCATCTGAAAATCGCAGACGCATTTATTAATAACATTATTTTTTCAATGTATTTTTAACTCTAAGATTTTACGATATGCGCGAGTTCAATCATAAAACTCTTTTAATGTCACTTTTATTTAATTTTGAAATATATTTTTGTTTTCAAATTACTCACCAAATTCGTTCTTCGCGATGATGCTTTTCGTGGTCTCGAGCGGATCGGATTCTCCGATATTATTAACAGCTTTAACACGGAATAGATATTCTTTGCGATGAATCAGACGGTTGACCTCGTGGCTCAACACCATGCTCATACCAGCGTCAGACCAAGTTCCACGAGACAAGTCCATCTTCTCAATAACATAGTGCAAAATGGGGCTTCCGCCATCGTCAAGAGGATGTCCCCATGTTAAGTGGCAACCCTCTTTGGTGACATTGCTGACATCCAAAGGTTTCTCTGGCGGTGCCGGTCTGTCGAGGACAGTGACTCTCGCGCTAGCACTAAAAATTTAATATCATAGTTTGTTGAATTAACAATCATCAAAATTAAATTGTATCATAAAAAAAATTTTGTTAAAGAAATTTCTTCAAATTAATTTTCAATATTAAAATCTTGTTCACATTGTCTTATTATTTGTTAAAATATCATTTTAAAATAAAATATTATTTATTATAGTATAAAATATTATTTGACGTAAATTAATTTGATTAAGAGATTTTTTGTTATCCAAATTAAAATTATAATTACATTAAAGAATAACTATAATTTTTTGATTTGTCAAGTACCTGAAACTACCATGTTCATTCTCCAAAGTTAGAGTGTAACGTCCAGTATCACCACGGACAGAGAATGGAATCTCGAAGGAAGTTTCAGTGTTAGTAGTATACATCTCATGACGAGCATCGGCCACAATCTGTACACTATCGCGATTCCACGTTGCCTTCGGTTTAGGTGATGCCACAATAGGAATATTGTAACTGATCTTCTGACCGGCGCGAACCACCAAATCGTGCAGCAAATGTGTGTCGAACGAAGGAGCAACTACAATTAAAGAAAAAATTATGAAGGCAATATCATATTAGCAGAGAGAAAACATCTTCAATTATTAAAAAAAAAATAAATTATAAAAAATTATTACTTCTCAGAAAAAAGTCTTTATGAGAGAAAAATATGCATTTTAAAAAAAGACCCTGCTAATACAAAAAAATACTTTATATATTAGGTGTTGGAATTAATTCGTAGCGTTTTTTAATGAAAGAATGTTATTTATTTCACATGAGCATTAAAAAATACATTAATGAAAGTACTTCCCATCACTTGTAAAACGCTACGAATTAATTCCAACACCTAATATTTTTATAATAAAACTTTTTAAAATAATTTACTTATTAATTTCGACAAACATTTAGACTTACTGAAACGAGGTTTAGCAACAATTGGCGCCGATGCTTCGGACGGTTCACCAGGTCCGCCCTTGTTCACAGCGATGACTCTGAACTCGTATTCTTGACCCTCGGTCAGATCAGGTACTCTGCCGCTAGTCTGATTTCCGGGTATCTCAGCGGCCTTTTCCCATTGTCCGAAACGAGGTCGTTTTTCGATAATGTAGCTAGTTATGGGCGATCCGCCGTCTTTCTTGGGTGGTGTCCATTCCAGATCTACATGATCTTTATCCCAGTCAGTGGCGACCGGCGTACCAGGTTTGTCTGGCTTGGCAAACGGATCCTTGGCAGTGATAGTGTCCATTCCCGTCAATGGCTGAGATTCGCCTTGCTTATTGACCGCTCGAACACGGAACTGATAGTCGTGTCCCTCAATCAGATGGCCTACCTGCGCTGAAGTGGTGTTAGCTTCAGCCACAGGCACCCAGCGCATGTTTTCCATATCCATTTTCTCAACTTGATAGTATTGGATCTCAGAACCGCCGTCATCCTTGGGCGGCCGCCACTTCAGAGTGCAGCCGTTTTTAGTGACGTTGTCGATCTTCAATGGACCTTCTGGTGGCAACGGTACATCCAGCACGTTCACCGTTAAAGTAGCAGAATCCTTGCCGTTCACATTCTTGGCCACAAGCGTATAAACGCCGGAATCGGAACGTTTCGCCTCCATCACGCGCACTTTAGTATTGTAATCTTCATTGGTGATCTTGATACGATCACTTGCCATCACTACGTTATCCTTTAGCGACCACTCCTTGCTTGGTGGTGGTTCGCCAGTTACCGGCACATCGAAGTCGAAGAAACTGCCAGCGCGCACTTTCACGTCTAGCATGTACTTCCTGTCAATCTTCGGTGGGACTGAACACAAAATATATAATATAATTAATTATACGTTAGAAAGTCAGACTTATTTTTGGTTACCATCCCGGCCTATATAACCAGGGTATGTGAAATACTGTAACTTTGTCAGCTATATTTCTGGACTAAATTTTAGTATTTTTTTTCAAAACGTGTGAAATTTATACCTTGAAGTCAGATAAAGACAGAGAAATATGGCTCAAATAAATAATATTTTATCTTCAATTAATTAGAATGTTTCAAAGAAATTTTATTGGAAAAATTAGCAAAAATAACTTTGGAAAAAAATTCCCAAATTTTTAATGTTCAAGCAAAAACCCGTAGGATTTTTTTAGTTAATCTTTTGGACTAACAAAAAAAATAGTACGATATGAATTGCTCAAAAAAGTATAATTATTTAAACTATCGAAAATCGACATTTTTGAAGAATCTACATATTTTAAGTTTACAATTAATAATTAAAATTTTATTATTTGTACAATACAAAAAAGTAATAATATAAGTAGATAAAGGATTATACATGTATAAATATTATTATAATATGTATAATTAAATTTATTAGGATTTAGTTTAGAGGATAATCAACACTCGCTCTAAAACAATAAATCTGCTCTGACTGAGCGATCTCCGAAAACTGACAGAAATTATAAGATTTCTACTATTTATTACATTGAAACATAATTCTTTTTAATTCTATATTTACTTTTATACTATTCGAAACTCAGTAAACATATATTTAATAAAAAATAAAAAATATATACCCAGAACGCTTACAACCCCGAAAACTTACAAGCTAATCATATGTGGGTCCCAAGTACCCTCTTTGAATTTTTGTGCATTCTCACAACAAAAATAACGCAAAAAAATACCCTTGCAGGTTTATCATATCTATGGACAGTTAAAGTTTTTTTCAGCCTCAATCCGAGTCTTCAAATTATATTATAAAAAAGTTACAGCAATGTAAAAAAATCAGTAAAGCATAGAGTACGTTGTACCCATGTTCAGCTTCCTAAAGTTAAATTGTAAATGCAATACCTACCAAATATTTTTAATCAATTTTTTGTTTCTTAAACTTCTAAGTTATAAAAATATTGTAAAATAATTCAATTCTCTTAAATATACGCACAAAATTTAATAAATGCTTTGCAAATGCTTACGATTTTTCGGTCGCGCTATATGGGACTTGGACGCCTCTGAAGCTTCGCCAGGACCAGCCTTGTTGACGGCTCTTACGCGGAATTCGTACGGAGTTCCCTCGACCAGGTCGTCGACTCTTCCACGATTCGTGTCGCCATCAATTTCTGCGCATTTCTCCCATGTCGGACTATATTTGTCGCGTTTCTCTATGATGTAACCGGTGATTGGTGATCCACCATCTTCCTCAGGGCGACTCCATTGAAGCTCAACGAAATCCCTATCATAATCAATTATTTCGGGCGTACCTGGTTTTCCTGGTTCATCTACAAAAAATAAAATAATATAAAAAATGTGAAAACATAATATTGACATTTTGTTGCAAATATTGGGAATATAATAAATTACGAATAATTATCATAATTATATTGGAAATATATGACACGCTCAAATTTTTATTCACAAATACATAAAATTATTATTTCAATAAAAACATGTTTGTCTTACCGAAGGGATTCTTCGCCTCGATGCCCTGCATGGCGGTAAGAGGTTCAGATTTACCCTGCTTGTTAACTGCTCGTACCCTGAACTTGTATTTATGCCCTGGCGTCAGGCCTTCCACTTGCAAGCTCGTTTCCGGTCCATCAGTCTCTCCGGCCGGCACCCAACGACCTGTGGCCTCGTCCATTTTTTCCACGACATATTTCTCAACTGGCTGCCCACCGTCATCCTCAGGCGGTTTCCACGTGAGTTTGCAGCCCTCGGCGTGCACATCAGATGCACGGAGTGGACCTTGAGGTGGACTTGGTTTATCCAGCACAGTTACTTTGACGAACGCCTCATCTCGGCCGTTAATATTCTCAGCAATGACAGTGTATTTGCCGGATTCCGCACGCGTAGCCATCCGCACGTTCAAACTAGTGTTGTAATCCACGTGCTTGACTTTAACCCGCTCAGTCGGTCGGACCTCCTTACCGTTCAGCATCCATTTGGTAGTTGGTGGTGGCTCGCCCGTTACTTTACAATCGAAGTTAAAGTTTTGGCCGGCCTTGATCTTTACTTCAATCAGGTTGGTACGATCAATCCTGGGCGCTAGATTGCGTGGTTTGGCTATGATAGTCGGCGTGGCATCCGACGGTTCACCAGGTCCAGCTTTATTCACGGCACGCACGCGAAACTCGTATGGTTGACCTTCGATAAGATCCGGTACTGTAGCGGATGTTTCATCTACAGGCACCTCCAGTGCCTTCTCCCATTCACCATACTTGTCTTTCTTTTCAATTACGTAACCAGTGATTGGTGAACCGCCATCATTCTCCGGCGGAGTCCATTTCAAGTCGACGTGATCCTTATCCCAGTCAGTTGCTCGGAGATCACCCGGTTTGCCTGGTTCGTCTGAACATAGAAACAAAAATTTGATAAAAATTCTGTCAGATTAAAAATAACATTTGTCTTTAAATTATGTTTTGTAATTTATATTTACACGATGTTTTATATTAGGTGTTGGAATTAATTCGTAGAAAACGCTACGAATTAATTCCAACACCTAATATAATTTTAATATATGTTTGATTAACGTACCAAATGGATTTTTGGCTACTATCGTCTGTTCCGCTTCCAAAGGTTTCGATTCGCCCTCGGCATTGACAGCGGCCACCCGGAAAAGATACTCCTTGCCAGGTGTTAAACCTGTCACCTCGAGAGCTATAACAAATAATTCATTTGGCATAAATCAATAATTAAATCAATACTATAAAATAAATTATTTATTTTAAAATAGCGAATTTGTAGCAGGAAAACTTTATCAATGAAAAATTTATCAATGAAAAAATTTAAAGCGCTTTATATAAAACAAAAAATAATAGAAACAGGAATTATTACGCATCATTTAAGAAGATTTAATGGAACTATGTGTATTATGTCAGTTTTATTTTTTTATTCAATTAATCAATCCGACGACTTACTCGGTTCAGTAGAACGTCCGCAGGGTACCCAACATCCGGTCTCCGGGTCCATTTTATCCACTTGATAGTACTCGATGGGCGTGCCACCGTCGTCTTTAGGTCTCTTCCACTTCAACTTGCATCCTTCCTTGTGTACATCCGACACCTGAAGCGGTCCCTCAGGCGGCGTCGGCTTGTCCGTCACCGTCACCTGCACCGTCACCGAGTCTTTGCCCGATGAATTGCTGGCGGTGACAGTGTAATCACCACTGTCGTCCCGCGATACCGGACGTATGCTAAACTTGGTATTGTAATCGGTGTTGTCGATCTGCACCTTGCGATCGGAATGAAGCGGTATTGCGCCATAACGCCACTCGATATGTGGCGGTGGCTCGCCGATTACGTTGGCATCAAATTTCAGCATCGAGCCAGCGGACAGGGTAACGTCCCTCAAATTGCGCCTGTCAATCTTCGGGGCCACTGTGACGAATGATTGAATGATTAGATGCCGATATCAGATTTAGACAAGCACGCGATTCATTGAAATTATTTTTAGAATATGCGTACATTTTATGGCAAAGATACAAGAATTACTATCCTCTCAAGCAGAACAACAAGTCTATAATATCAAAATGGTTCCAAAATGATCGTTAAAAGTCATTTTTCAATCATTTCGAATTTATTTCAATATTATTTTGACGTTATATTATCGACTTGTTGTTCTGCTTGAGCTACTATATGATCGATTACTTGTGTAATTAAGATCTTAGATATATACACCTATTATTAAGATAATATAGTATTTGATATAATTCGTACATAAAACTTATTTAAAGGAAAATTTTAAACAAATTAATTATAAATCATTATACCAGCAAGAAAAATTTGTAAAAGTTGAAATATCATAAATACAGAAATATCATAAATACTTACAGAAACGCGGCTTAGCAGTAAACGTCTTGCTTGCTTCACCGGGTTCCGACTGACCAGCCTTGTTTACGGCAATCACGCGGAATTGATAATCATTGCCTTCTATTAGACCATGTACCAAAGCTTTGGTGACCGGTGTCGCGGTCTCCAAAGCCTTCTCCCACATAGTGCTGTATTTATCTTTTTTCTCAATGATGTAGCCCGTGATAGGTGATCCACCGTCGCTGACAGGTTCTTTCCAGGCAAGTTCAACCTGATTAGCTGTCCAATCGACCGGTTCCGGTGCTCCAGGTGCAGTTGGTACAGCTGTAAAAATTAATTATTATAATAAAATTAGCAATTAATATTAGTTTAAAAAAAATACTGAGCTGTCAGTAAGATATTGTTTTTATATAATACATTATGAAAAGAAGAAATAAGAATTAAAAGCAAGAAAAATGCTACAAAGTAATTAATTTCAAAATAATAATTTATATACTTCTGTGACAATATATAAAAGCGTTAACGATTCAAACTATTTATATTTATCGAAGATGTTAATAAAAGATACACACACACACACACACAACAGAATACTATTTATTTTATTTTTATAATAAATAAATTTTATAATATTCTACTTACTGAACGGATCTTTCGCTACAATAGAGCTAAAGGTTTCCAATGGTTCAGACTCTCCTTCTTTATTAAGTGCTTTGACTCGGAACTTGTACTCATGTCCCGGTGTAAGCCCTTCGACCTTCATCTCGGGCCCAGTAGTTTTACCAACTGGTAACCAAACACCGGTCTCTGGATCGAACTTCTCCACGAGATAGCCCTCAATTGGTTCACCACCGTCATCCTTAGGTTTCTTCCATTTAAGCGTACATCCTTCTTTATGTACGTCGGATACCTCCAATGGTCCTTCTGGTTTGCCAGGCTTGGCTGATAAACAAACAAAATTTAGATTAAATTGTTATGTAAAAACATAAGATTACACACGAAGAATGAATTTTTATTTCAGATTATTGCACATTAAATACTTTCATTTTTAATATTTGACAAAGAGAAAAATAATAAATAAAACAGTTTATTCATTATAGACTGATAATTATTTTAAGTATTTATAATAAACAAGAAGAGCTATTAGCTAAACGATATCATTTAATGTTCAGGATATAAAAACAATTTCTATTTTGATAAACAATACAGATGTTTCAACATTAATCAAGTCACTATCAATGTTAACCAAATTTTAAAATTGTGACATAAAAATAGCAGTTATTTGTATAATACAATATTTGTATATATTTTAGTCAAATAAAATATAAAATCTAAAAAAATACTAAAAAATTATTATCTTATATCCATTAAATCCATGTATTAGAACGTTCCGACAGGTAAAAGTGGTTCATCTATGGATTATATAGTATATATAATAGAAAAAATAATATATAATTATTTTCTTTAATTATAAAACTTGCAAAACATTAACTGTAAAAATTACTCACAGACAACGGTGACTTCGACTTCGGCGGTATCGGATCCATGCTGATTGACTGCTGTGATCTTATAAGTGCCACTATCCTTACGTTCGGGCTTGTCATTGAAGAATTTACTATTATAAGGCACATTCTGTATTCTGCGATGTGTAGTTTGCTGGATGCTCTTATTGTTGATTACCCACGTGACGTCTGGCGGTGGTTCTCCGATAATTTTGACGTCAAAGTGGAACGCTTCATTCTCGCGCACGGTTATATCGCGCAAATTGCGTCTGTCAATCTTCGGCGCGACTGAAGTCAAAAGAAATAACATCATAATTAATAAATCTATTTCTCGTTAACCGATTAAGATTTTCTAGAAATTTTACAAAAATGTTTTCAACAAAAATTTTTACATCAAAAAATTCTTTTAAATCTATGATTCAAGATTTTTTATTGAGAAGAATATATTTTAAGATTATTTAATGAAAGAGACAAATAATTAAAATATCTTTAATTATCTAAACTTACGTCTTCGACTCTTGGCGATAATCGGTTTGCTAGCGTCGGACGGTTCACCAAGACCGGCAGCATTAATGGCCTTGACCCTGAATTCATATTCGGTACCCTCGTCGAGATTGTCGACGCGGCCCTTACAATCCGGTCCAGTCTCGCACGCCTTGATCCACTTGGGTGCGCCCTTCTCCCGCTTCTCGATCACGTATCCGGTGATTGGAGATCCGCCGTCTTTTAACGGTGGAGTCCATCGCAGATCCACGTGATCCTTGTCCCAATCGGTCGCCTCCGGACGTCCTGGTGCACCAGGTTCATCTGTGGTATAAATAAAACTGTTGTTACTTATCTGAACTAAGAAATGTAAGAAAAAAAATTTCAAGGATTAATTTTGAAAAGTATAATAATTGATAATTGATCACAATTTGGTCTCATTGGACGTGATGTTACTTTACAAACGTCCCTATAGATGTTGTTTTGGAGTTAGCGAAAAATGGAACTACATATAAAAAAAATGTAATTTTTCGAAAACAGATTTTCTGATAGCAGTTTAGTTCGTCTTAAATTCCACATTTTTTACATTCGACAATGTCATTTATAAACAGTCCTTTGGCACATCCATGGGTTCTCCCTTGTCACCTATCATTGCGGACTTAGTACTGCAAAATTTAGAAAACACCGCGTTGCGTTCGCTTAATTCATCAGTTAGTTACCGTTTTTTTTATCGATATATTTTGATGACATATGCACGGCAATCCCATCATCTGATATAGCAACAATATTATTAAATACTTCAACTCATTCCACCCACGACTCCAATTCACTTTGGAAAACGGAGAATCTCTAAATTTTTCTCTAACTAAACTTTTTGGATATAAGAAGAAAGAAGGGAAATCCTTGATTTTCGACTGATATCACAAACCAAGTTATTCAGGTAGATACCTGAATTTTTTATCTAACCACTTGATCTCCCAGAAGAGAGGTACTATCATAGGTTTAGTTGATAAAGCATTATTATTATCCGACGCAGAAAACCATACGGAGAATTTAATTGTAATTAATACTCCACTCGAGAATGACTATCCGCTCGATTTCATTTTTAATACCGTTAACAAGAAAATTCACAGTCTCATGAAAGAAAAAATGAAAGAAACGCGTATTCGTTCAAATAATGAGATCGAACTTGATAGAATTTCGTGGTTTACAGTTCCATTTATACCTTCTATTACCGAGAAATTTAAACAATTTAATAGTAAAGATTCAAAAGTTGGATTTTAATACCAATAAATTACAGAAATTTATCAAAGTTCAAAAAAATCTTCGATCCTACTTTACCAAGACCAATGTAGTCTGTAAGGCCAATTGCTTGGACTGCGATGCTATATATATGGGACAAACGGGTAGGCAATTAAAAACGAGAATTGCTGAACATCGAAATCATATCCGGTGGAATACCTTTACTCACTCCGTGATAACAGAACACAAGATTGCAGCACGAATTTGATTGGGATAACATCATAATTCTAGATGAATTCTTATAACAAACTCCTAATCTCGGAAATGTTAAATATTAAAAAACAGAAAAACAGCTTCAATTTACAGACAGATACGGAGAGATTTCACATACCGATAATAAACAAATTATGACTTTGCAACGCTAAATTTTTTCTATTGTTATTAATAATGTTATTATATTTAATAATTATATTTATTATATTTTATTTCTTTCTCTCATAATTAAACTTAATATTCCTCCTTTTCATTTTTTCAGATTATCTTCCCTCTCACGGATACACCTTGATGAGAGGGCTCAGTAGGATATTTACAAAAGAACGATTTTTCTCAATTATCTAAAAATTTTCGGATATACCTGACTGTA